GGTCCTGTTTTATGATGTTTTGTATTGTAACCATCTGTTTCCAACACTCTCTCTTCTTTCTAGTGCAGGGGTGGGCAAACTACAGCCCGAGGGCTGCATCCTGCCCTCCAGATGTTTTAATCCATCCCTTGAGCTCCCGCCGGGGAGCGGGGTCAGGGACTTGCCCCGTTCCGCGCGGCTCCCGGAAGCAGCAGTATGTCCCGCCATCGCAGCTCCCATTGGCCTGGAGCCGCAGCCAATGAGAGCTGCAGGGGCGGTGCCTGCAGATGGGGCAGTGTGCGGAGCTGCCTGTCCGCGCCTCCGCGTAGTAGCTGGAGCAGGGAGGACATGCTGCTGTTTCTGGGAGCTGCTTGAGATAAACACCGCCCAGAGCCTGCACCCCTGACCCCCTCCCAGGCCTCAACCCCCTCCCCCAGCCCTGATCCCCCTCCCGCCCTCCGAACCCCTCGGTCCCAGCCCGGAGCACCCTCCTGTTTCCCCAACCCCTCATCTCCAGCCCCATCCCAGAGCCCACACCCCCCAAGCGGAGCCCGCAACCCCTCCCGCATCCCAACCCCCAATTTTGTGAGCATTCACGGCCTGCCATACAATTTCCATTCCCAGATGTGGCCCTTGGGCCAAAAAGTTTAACCAGCTCTGTTCTAGTGAAACCTCTGTTCTTTCTTAAATAAACCTGCTTTCGGTGTATTATAAGTGGGCACAAATGCTGTGTGTTATACAGGAGTGGTGATTTAAGGTAAAATTGGTATACTGGGGTGCACTGCTTCTTTGGGCTAGAAGATCTGGGATTTGTGTGAGTATCATAGAATATCAGGGTTGGAAGGGACCTCAAGAGGTCATCTAGTCCAACCCCCTGCTCAAAGCAGGACCAATTTCCAACTAAATCATCCCAGCCAGGGCTTTGTAGCCAGTGTCGGGGGGGGCTGGACATCACAGGGGGACCCGTCAAGCTGCCGATGCTTGAAGGGGACTCAGGGATTGGGGCGCACTCTTGTTAAGCTGCATAGCCTGGAGGAAAGCACTTGAGTGTCTGATGGCTGGTGGTGGTTAGAAAGCTAACCCCCAGCTACCGCTAGAGGCAGGGTGTAAGAAGGTGACTCACAGTCCAGGGGTACCCCAAGAACCATCACAGTACCCAAACTGCAATCACCCCCCGGGACTGCAGGCTAGCCCCTCACTAGAGCTGGGTGAACATTTCTCAGCGGAGCCGTCGTCTGTCAGAAATTGTAGTTTCATCCAAATCTAAACATTGTGTGGGAACGTGTCAATTTCAAGGACATTTTTGATGGGAAAAAGTCAAAACAAACCACGTCAGCTTCCTTGTTTCAGTAAGGAAAAAACGTTTCATGTCAACATTCCCATTTTGCTTTGATCTTTAATTTATAGCAATATATTACTTTGTACCTATATTATACTTCATATCTAATATGATATTACAGGGCAGAGGTTTTCAAACTTTTTCCATTTGCAGACTCCCTACAAAAATTTCGAATGGCGGTGCGGACCCCTATGGAAATCTTAGACACAGTCTGCGGACCGCAGGCCACAGGTTGAAAACCACCGTTCTAGGGTTTTGACATTATCCAGAAGAAATAATGGTACCTGACTGAAACTCAACGTTAGCAAATCGAAACGTTTCGCTGGCTCCAGATCAATTTTTGTTTTTAGAATGTTCATCTGAGGGAAATTTCAAAATTTCAGCTTTTCCTTCCAATTCGGAGCAAAAACCAATTTTGAACTGTCAGAATTTCCTGTGGAACAGAAATCCCAGTTCCCAGCCAGCTCTAATGATCTCTAAGGCCCTGCAATGTCCGGGACCTAGTTCTAACTGTGTTTTGTCCCCACAGTTCAGATCAGCTGGGAGGGACTCTCAAATAACGCCCTAGATTTGCATTCTCAGAGGGGCTGTTTTAGCTTTGCAATCTGCTTCCTCCATAGCTCTGCAGGAGTCTTGACATTCAGAGCACAGGTTTGGCTCTTCCCCCAGGCTTTTGTCCTTCGGGGCAAATTTGAAGCTGATCTGTATTTCACTGCTGGATGTGAGTTTTCCAAGGTTGAGACGACCTGCTAGTGACGTGTGTTGTTTTATCAATTACTGTTCAGTGCCCAGAGGTGCGTGATGGGAGATTACAGAAAAGAAAAGGGCTCAGTACCTTTAAAAATTCCTAGCTTCATAGAGTTTAAGGCCATTAGATCATCTGGTCTGACCCCCTGTATTACACAGGCCAGAGTGTTTCACCCAATTACCTGTAACTGGGCCCAATTTGTGTGTCTGACTATGGTGCATCTCCCAGAAAGGCAGCCTGGCTGGATTTGAAGACAACAAGAGATGGGGAATCCCCCACTTCACTCGGGAGTTTCAAACTGGCCCTTTTAGGCAGGGCCCAAGATGAGCATGTAGGAGCGTTGGGCACCCAGCTTTGAAAAGTTCGCCCACAGCTGTTAATGAAGGGCCCCTCAGAGCCACATGTTGTGTCACAGAAGCCACGAGCG